CGCAAACCCTGTATAATGGGCTGCCCTGGAGATGGGAACTCCTGGTGCACACCTGTTCCTGCTGCCCATGTCGTCAGATTCCTATTGGGGATCATACCCGACACTTGTCCCAAGGACTGTCCTGCAGGTTTCCACCCTTGGTGCCCTCAGCCCCATCACTGAGGAATGTGTGCCTGGCACGGCACCCTCCCCTTTCCCCCAATGTTTATTAAACTGGTGGACAAAAGGGTCATGAACTCTTGGGGAGTGTGTGATGGGTGTACTTTGTTAATGTGGACCAAGATAAACAAGCAGAGCCTTCCTTGGGGAGGGGTGGGGGTCACAGGGAACATGCCATCTCACCACACCCATGCGTGGTCTGGAAGGCTTCCTGGGGAGGGGCCTTGGAGCAGAGAAATTCATGGGTGAGCAAGTAAAGCCTGTTTATCAAGGTGGTCTAGAAGTCACCTGACATTCTGCAGTTACTTCTCTTGCTCTGTGTGTCTGCAGGTCACACAGTTGGACAGCTGGACTCATTCGTGGGGGGCTGTCCCCCACTTGTCCCTTAGCAGGTCTTGCTCAACCCAGGGTGTTAGGGACTTACCAATTTTAAGATGTGGAACAGAGGTTGAGCTTCAGGCAGCCTGCACTCACGTACTGTCAGCGGGCAGCCAGTCTGGAGACAGTGAACCCCTAAATTACCTCTCTGGCTACTGACTGCCACATGGAAGAATGGGGAGGTCTGGTGGGGACAGCCTGGCGACCGTCTCTGCATGGCTTGGGAAGGTCTTTTAAGTTGGTCAGTCTGAAGCTGTGGTGACACTCAGGCCACCAGTCTCCTGTGCCAGGGACAGAGGCTGGGTCCTGAACTCAGATCCAGCATAGGCACCTGTAGGCGAGGAACATTTCTGGAGGTATGTCATCCTCTTGCCTCATGTCATCACCTCAGTGACTGCTCTATAACTGGGATCCTTGCCAGGCTCCAGCCATGGACTTTACCCCCCAGGGCAAGGGAGTGGGGGCCTAATGCCATCAGTGTGCAGGTCTGGGACAGTGTGCAAGGCCAGGCGCTGCCACAAACATCCAGTCCTCAAAAACAGATCCTTAAATGGCTGGACGTGAAAGCAGTGCTGCTGTGGTGGCATCCTGCAGGCTGCCTGGAGGAGGGGAGATGGAAACCTGTCAGCCCTAAGGGCAAAAGTGGAGTTCAACATCCACAGATGAAATAGTTCAGAGAAACTGGACTCTAACCATGACAGAGGTGCAGAGTAGGTCCAGGCAAAGACCCAGAAAGCCCTTTGAGACAATGCTTGGGTACAGGAACTACCTGGGTGGAAGTGGAGGCTCGCTGGAAGTACTACCAATAGAAACCATGACCATCTCCTGCTTCCCACTCTGCAAACCCTCCTGGCCAGAGTGCAGTCTCCTACTACTGCTATCATAGTCCTACTTGAAGCTGCCCCTTGCCATCACTCTATCTCTGCACACCACAGCCAGTCCTGTAGATGGTGGTGCACTCTCCAGAACACTGCCTACCTTTTTCCACCCTGATGCTTTGATCAGAGGAAAGGCTGCAGCCTTAGCTGCCTCCATGGTATTGAAGCCACATCTAAGGAACCTCTTGGTGCATTTATACAATCCTCCCAGACATCCCCCCTAAAAGCCTCATTGCCATCGAGTTGGAACTGACACATAGCTGACCCTTCTGTGAGTTTTCCAAGGCAGCAAATCTCTCAGCAAGAGACTGTCCATCTTTTGTGTAGCGACTTGTGAATGTGAACCACCAGAGAGGTGCCCCCTTCAGGTTAGGGGCTAACTCCCTACAGACAGTGTCACCAGAGTACATTGAAATGTGTGTGGAGACTACCAGTGCACAGGACTCAAACACAACTGAGAGGCAATGGGTTAAGGGTTCTCAGCGATGCGTGCAGTTGGTAGGTGCTGTTGAGTCAACTACAGCTCAGCACCTCTGTGAACAACTGATCCAGACCTTGCCCACCATATGCCATACTCATATGGAGTCTCTGATACACTCCAGCCCATTGGTAGTAACCATGTCAGTCCATCTTGTTGGGGTCTTCTCTTTAGCTGGCCCTCCACCTTTCCTAGCATGATGCCTCTTTTCCAAGGGTTAGTCATGTCCGAAGTATGTGAGATGAAGTTTCACTGTCCCTGACTCCATGGAGCACCCTGCTAGCACTTTGAGACATTTTGATCTTTTGGGTGCTATTGTATACCACTGAGTTAGAAGTGATTCATAGCTGACCCTCCAGCAGGTTTTCAGAGGCTGCAATGGAAGATTACCTGTCTTCCACAGACCAGCTGGTGGGTTCAGTGTGCCCTTTTGGGCTTGCAGTGCAACTCCTTGCCATGAAGCCACCTGAGTTATTTTGGCAGTCTATGAACTGTGGTACTGGAGAAGAGTATTGAATATACCATAGATTGTTAAGAGAACAAACAAGTTTGACCTGAAGAGGGTGAAATCAGGTTTCTCCTTGGAGACAAAGATTCTGAAGCTCTGTCTAACATACTTTGGGCATGTTGTAAGAAGGGACCAGTCCTTGGACATTATGCTTGGGAAGGTGGCGCAATAGCGGAAGAGCGGAAGACCCGAGATGAGATGGATTGAGTCAGTGACTGGGGTAATGGGGGTGGGTGTGTCAGAGACAGTGAGGTTGGCTCAAGATAGAGCAGGGTTCAGAACTGTTGTACATAGGGTCTCTATAAGTCGCAGGCAACTTGACAGCACATAACAACACGAGATATTTGGTACTCTTACCCAACCCACAACTAAAAGTCATTTATTCTCTGTTCCTTCTTTGTCCAATTTTAAGATGCACAGCAAGTAATTGAAAAGACCATGGCTTGAATTGGGTGCACCTTAGTCTTTAAAGTGACATTGCTGCTCCTTAGCACCTTGGAGAAGCCCTTGGCGGATTTCCCCAAGGCCGCATGTCTTAATTTCTTTTTTTTATTATTAAATTTTATTAGTTTTAGTGAACATTTACAGAGATTTTGGGTTTTCATTC